GGGGAGCAGGAGGGGGAACGGCAGTCAGGAAGAGGGGGGGAGGAGGAACCTGGAGACCTCGACTGGGGTACCTGACGTAGTACGGAGTGGACTCCTCGAAACGGACGTCACGGGAGTCAAAGAACCGGTGAGAGGGAGGGTGGTAAAAGGTGAAGTCAGAGGAGTCCTCAGGGAAACCAAGGAAGACACTGGGGACGGCACGAGGCGAGAGCTTGTCCGCGGAGGTGTCGCGGACAAGAGCCAAGCACCCCCAGACACGAAACCGCGACGCAACACCAGGGGACCCTGTCCAAAGACTGGTCGGTGAAACCTCTGGTCGAGAGACACGTGGCCAGAGGTTCAGCTGGTGTGCGGCGTACCTGACCGCGTAGGGCCACAGAAAATGGGGGGCACAGGCGTGAGTCAGGGAGGTGCGGGCGATCTCCATGACCAGGCCTATGCGGCACTCAGCAACCCCATTCTGCTGTGGGGACTCTGGAAGCGTCCAGGACTGACGAATGCCCTGCTCGCGACAGAATCCAGCGAGAATGCCGGAGCGAAACTCACCCCCACGGTCGGAGTGGAGACAGCTGACACGACGACCACGAGTGTCCTCAGTGGTGAGCAACCACCTGATCAGCGTAGAAGTCACCTCAGACTTCTTCGCCAGAGGGAACACTGTGGTGTAGCGGGAGAAGTCGTCAACGACCACCAGAAAGTAACGCTCACGCTCAGGGCCTAGACGAGGGGCTGGGCCCCAGACGTCCAAGTGAAGCGTCTCAAAAGGCTCGGTGGCCGGACGAAGGGAGGAGGAGTGAGGGGTGGCGCGCAGCCTACCCTCGACGCAGGGACGACACGGCGGCGCAGGCGAAGGCGGCAGCGACGGCAAGACACGTGGGAGGCCTAGGACAAGACGCTGACTAGACATAGCGCGCAGACGAGGAAGGGACGGGTGCCCCATCCGGTGGTGCCACAGAACGGTGGGGTGGGCAAGCGACCGGCATGAGCACGACGCAACGACTGGAACAGACGTAGGAACCTGACACGACACAGACACCTGGGGGGACGAAGCAACCTGGTGAGACACGGGGACCCGAACGGGGGGGGGAACCGGGGGCAGTGGCAGTAGGGGGGGCTGCTGGTGCGGCCGCTGGTGCTGCTGCTGCTGCTGCTGCTGCTGCTGCGGCTGCGGCTGCTGCTGCTGCTGCGGCTGCTGCTGCGGCGCACGCGGGCCAGTGTGAAGAGTGTAGAGACCCGAGCCCGGCTCAGCAGTAAAGGTAGCAAGAGGCTGGTAAGAGTCTCCGTCAACACACACCGCAGTCTCTCCAGAAGGCTCAAACCACACACCCACGTGCTGACTCACGAGGGGTCGCACGCCCACCAAGTTCCGGGAGAACGAGGGGACGTGAAACCCAGTGAGAGACCCGGAGGGAGCAGCAGGACACGGTAAAGTGGTAGTGTGACGGGCAGTGACTGGTCCCGTAGTGGGATCAGCCAACGCTACAGAAACAGGCGCAGGAAGTGGTGTAAGTGTCGTGCTGTCCCGGAAGAAGCAGTGGGAGGCTCCAGAGTCCAGTGTGAACGACAGCGAAGCGTCCCCTGAGGTAGTCGCTGGTCTAGAGTCTACACAAGTACCTACACTAGCAACAGGCAACTGAGCAAGACTAGCACCTAAGCTAACAACACCAGAGTAAACAGAGTCAGAAACACTAGAGTCAACAACAGCATACATAGCATGAGGAGCACTAATCAGATCAACTAACTGCTCAGCAGACATGCCCCACAGAGCGGAGCCGTAGCGCTGAACCAGAGGAAGCCAGTCAGGAGCAGGACCGCCAACCCCGTAGGTCAACCGGACCGTGTCAGTGAGCTGAGCAAAGCACTGACCAGGGGGGTGAGAGCGGCCACAAGGGTGGCCCCGACGAGGACCTGTCTGAACCTGGTAGGGGCAGGGAGGGTAAGCCGCACCGCGCTGGGGCTGACGCAGCCCCGACCCCGGAGCCAGCTGCTGACGCTGCTGCTGCTGAGGCTGCTGGGAGGAAAGGGGCTGCTGCTGCTGCTGAAGGTGCTGCTGACGCTGAGCCTGGTACCACGCCGCTGCTCCACCTAGCGGGGCCGGCAGTACAGGAGGCGACTGACGAGCTCGGGGGTCGCCGCCACCAGCAGGTGCAGTGGAGTCACCAGCCGCTGCACGAGGGGTCTCTCCAGACGCTGCACTCCCACCACCCCCAGTCGCAACAGCACCCCCACTACCTCCGCTACCTCCGCCTCCACCTCCACCAGAACCACCTTTCTTGCCCCCCCTGCCGCGGGACCGCGACGCAGTCGTAACAGCAGCCGCAGTCGCGTCAGTAGCGGCAGTGGCAAGAGAGGCAGTGAAGGTGGGTAACTGCGGGACTGTGCACCCGTGGAAGAGTGGGGGGGACACAGTACCAGAGGCGGCAGCTACCGAACGAAGGTTGCTCTCGACGTCCTTGAGTGCAGACTCAAGGACCTCGATAGTCAGCTCACTAGGGTGCTTCAGCAGAAGCGCGTCACGAACGGAGGCAAGGCGGTCAGGGAGGCTAGTGGCGATGAAATAGACAGTGATCGCCATGGGGGGAGGAAGCAGTGTAAGCTGTGCCTCAGTGCAAGCAGCGCGGTAACTAGCGTCGAGCGAGCGGAGGTGAGCGATCAAGTCAGCAGAGCGCTCAAACGAGGCAAGATCAGGAAACAGGAACGGGAGGAAAAGACGGCCAAGAGAGACAGTAGCGGGAGTAGAGTAGCGGGCCTTAATCGCAGTGAGGTACGCAGCAGCGGTGCGAACCTGAGTAAAGTGGACCTCCTCGGACTCAGGGAGGAGGCTGCTGAGTGCGATGCAGGCCGCAGCGTCACGCGACGTCCAAGCCGTCCGGTCAGCGCGCTGACGGGCAAAGCGAGCCGTAGCAGCGTCGTCAGGAGCAGGGCCTAAAGCTGTAGGCTTGGGGGGCTCAGGGAGGTCACCAGTAGCATGTGACCAGAGGGTCTCGCCCCCCTGGACCTGACTCTCTAACAGACGGCGAGCGCGAAGAAGCCAGACGGAAAAGTCAAGGGGTCTACCGTCAGCGTCGAAACGAAGAACTCGCGGAGTCGCCATAGTGAGGACTAAAGCGAACGAACAGGCGAGTAACAACCGGGGGGGAAGAGGACTCAGTCGCAGCGGAAGAGCGGGCTAGAGCGACGGGCCAGGACGTAGGGTAGGGCAACGGGCCAGGGCCTAGGGTAGGGCGACGGGCCAGGGCTTAGGGAGGGCAACGGGCCAGAGCCTAGGGTAGGGCGACGGGCCAGGGCGTAGGGAGGGCGACGGGCCAGGGCCTAGGGTAGGGCGACGGGCCAGGGCCTAGGGTAGGGCGACGGGCCAGGGCCTAGGGTAGGGCGACGGGCCAGGACTTAGGGAGGGCGACGGGCCAGGGCCTAGGGTAGGGCGACGGGCCAGGGCTTAGGGCAGGGCGACGGGCCAGGGCGTAGGGCAGGGCGACGCGACGGGACAGGGCGACGCGACGGGGCAGGGCGACGGGACGGGGCAGGGCGACGCGACTGGGTAGGGCGACGCGACGGGACAGGGCGACGGGACGGGACAGGGCGACGGGACGGGGTAGGGCGACGCGACGGGACAGGGCGACGGGACGGGGGGGGAACAGGCGGGCACGACGCGACGGGGGGAACGGGCGCGACGCGACGGGGGGAAAGGGCGTGACGGGGGGGGGGGGAATGGGCGCGACGCGACGGGGGGGGGGGGGGGGGGGGGCGCTAGGCGACGGGGAGAAAGGGCGCTAAGCGACGGGGGAAAGGGCGCTAGGCTCGGTAACAACGGAACTGGTACGAACGAGAGGTAGGATCAGGCTCGGGAGGCACGAACGGAGAACGGAGGAACGGGATCCCACAGGATCCTAACCTAGCTGATACCATGTCAGAATGAGGAATGGTGTGTTTCCATTGATGTTGGTTGGGGTACATATGACAAACCCTAACTTCTGTACCCCCTAAGACAAACCTCACTACAGGCTACAACATTTGACAAAATAGTCACTCATCCTCGCCTGCAACCCACTCCTCTACTCCCTAAGCGCACCACTCTGCCGAGCAGAAATCAGTTTCGTGCGTGGATGAAGAAACAGGCGGAGGAGAAGGATTGTGATGGGTGAAAGGATTGACGTGCCTCCCGTTGAACAGTAGGGGTTGCTGCACGGGCCATCGTGCAGCCCCTGCGCTCGAGCCGTGCATGTGTCAGGGTGTCGAGGTGGGATGGCACGCTGACGAGCCACAAAGCGAATCTCAATGCTGGAATGTGGTAACGTGCGATTTCGGCCAATGAGAAGGCCACAAGCTGATTCCCCTGTGTGATATGGCTACATCGCAGAAGTCGCACACATGTGCGGCCCAAACAACAGGGGAAAAAATGTCAAGCATCCTCATCAATGAGGCACTCGATTACACCTTTAAAAATCATATCAATTTAATAAGACCCGGGTACTAAACAATCTTGTGCCGTTGACAAGACCCCCCCCTATTTTTTTATGAATTTTACACAAGACCCTAGGGTCTACTATCCGGGAGATTACGGTATGCTCGTATGGTAATTATCTCCCACAAAGAGCTCCTCTCATTCCCGCAATCTGGTATCACCGCTCCACAGTACTTGGTAAGCGACCATTGTATGAAAATCGGTACACATTAGAGAAGGCAGTACAGGAAGAGATCTACTGGCATGGCAGGGAGGGTTCTATTGGCTTGACTACCAAAGCAATCAATACGGTACCAGTAACAAGGCAAACGAGAAGAACCGCCTCCTGTGCTGCAAAGGCAAGTCACAAAGGCGATCACAAAAACAAGTCAGTGTCAGATGTGGGTAGGCCAGGAGGACCCGAGGTAGGTACTGAAGGTAGAGGGAGGTTGAGGGAACATACAGGCAGCGGCAAAGGGAGATGTAAGGCAGTGGAACGGTAGGGGGTAAGTGTGATGAGAGGTAAGCTGCTGGAGGGGAGGGATGAGGGATGAGAAAATTAGGGTTGTGACCAGGCCTGGAGTTGACGGGGGATGGGGATGTGAAGCTGAGAGGGAGATGCAAGGCAGTGGAGGGGTAGGTGTGGGGGAGATGAGAGGTAAGCTGCTGGAGGGGGGAGGGAGGGGAAGGGGAGGGGGAAGAGGGATGGGAAAATGAGGGGTGACCAGGGCTGGAGATGACCGAGGGGGGGGAGGGCGGGTTGGGCACAAACAAGAATGAGAGGAGCTAGGGGAGGGGGGGCGAGGGGAGAACAAGGGGTAAATTGGGAGGAGGGGAGGAGAGGGGGGGGGGGGGGGAGTTGTCAGAGAGGGCAGAGGGGAGATGAAGGGAGAGGAATAAAAGTGGGGGAAATGCGGGGGAAAAAGGGATGAGTGAGGGGGGAATGAGGGGTGGGTGAGGACGGAATGAGGGGTGAGTGAGGGGGGGAATGAGAAATGAAGGGAGAGCGGAAGAGAGCAGGGGAGGGCGGAAGAAAGCAGGAGACATGAGAGTAGTAGTGGTGAGGAGGAGGGGGAAAGAGGATGATGGGTGAGAAGAAGGTGATGAGGGGTGAGTGGGAGACGAGAAGAGGGGAGCGGGAAGGAGACGAGGGGAAGGCGGGGGAAGATGAGGGAAGAGCGGGGGGCGTGAGGGGGAGCGGTGAGGGAAGAGCGAAGGGGGGCGAGGGGAGCAGGGGGGAAAGATGAGGAGGAGCGCGGAGAGATGAGGGGGGAGCGGAAATGGAGAGGGGGGGGGGGGAGGGGCGGGGGGAGGAAGGGACGAGGGGAGAGCGGGGAGAGATGAGAAATGTCCTTCCCCATCCTCCGCTGCATCCCACCAATCCCGCTGACCTTTCTCCTTTCCCTTTCTCCTTGCGTGGAAGCGATCCAAAGAAATGTGTCTTCGCTTAATCGCTTAAGGACATCGAGTAGGCGGCAGTACCGACGCTATTCACGCGCCGACGAACCGAAACTATCAAAGCCGTCCGCATGGTAAGTGCTCACATATTTATGGAATCAACAAGTTGAAAATCGATACTAATAATGACTGCGCAAATGGTCTTAATGTGACCGCAAATCGACGCTATGCAACCGCCAAAAACAGTCGTCCTACTGTTACGAACATCTGCAGCACGCAAATGGCAATTCGTTCACTACGTGAAGCGCCTACTATCATACCACGGCTAATAAGCGCAACTGACACTATCTACGGTCCTAAGTCTTAACTTGCGCGATCCGGGAAGCCATGCGAGTTCTTAACCAAGAAGCGCTAAGATCTGGTTTGACGGACGGGAATGGCGATGACAAGGCAAAGGAGCTTCACAGAACTGCAGGTTGCTTGTGCGACTGTGACGGAAGCACCCGCGATTTCGATTGGCTCGCGTGCCTTTTTATCCAACCACTCTAAGTATTTCAGATGGCGTACACAGCGAGTTCCCCCAAAGCGAACCGCGCTCAACAAAAGTGCACAGATATTTGTGAAGAGAAAGAGAACCGTACTGACAGCCTGGTTCACAGCCAGCCAAGGAGTTGCTACAGCAGCCAACTTCGTTAAAGTCCTGCCAGAAATTAATTTCGCCCCAAACCTACACCATCCCCGCACTTCACTATTTCTAACTAAAAGTGTCACGTCAGCCTCCTACTAGAAAGTTCCTAGCTGGCCCAGCCACGAACCTGTGTATTGGTGATACGCGCTTTGAGGGGTCTCGATTGCCACAACATAAAGAAAACCAAACTCAACGAAATAACAAAGCACTGAATTGTACATGGAAATATGACTGTTCAGATTGTTCTGCAAATGGTGAGCAGAACCAATTTCAGCCACCTCACTGACACCAAAACATCCGAACACCAAAATACCGTGCCGAAGAGACAGAGAACCGTACTGACAGATTGCTTGGCGGGGAATCAGTACTGCATGGTCCTGATTGGCTGGCAAACGTTGCGCTGTGCGGACTAGACATCCAAATCCAAAGCAGGCGGATAAAACCTAGTTCAGACTGGTGAAACGCGGTTCAAAGTGGTGAAGAAATCAAACCGCACGAGAATACACAGCATCGTTTTCCACCGCATACTCTGAACCGAAAGTGAATCAAGTCTGACCCGCTCTAACTCAAGCGACATCACAAATTCACCCACAATTCCTTGTGTTCGCGTTCGCGTCCTGACGCCGTAACTCCAGAGGAGCACGACTGAGAGCAAGATGAAGACTGCGTAACTCAAGCTGAGATTTACAATTTCATCCTGGCCATGATCGCACGATTCCTTGTGTTACAGTCTAAGGGCGTATTCCAAAGCACGGACACCATCCAAAGTTGGACCACGAGGTCTGCAATGATGGAAATTCGAATTTCAATGTTGCGCCACGCGGTTCGGCATCAAGACACTTTGGAGCTGACGGCCACGTAACATGAGACCGTCTTGCACGTCTTCATGCGACAAGGGGTTTCATGCCATGTTGGTGTAAAATTGGGACATTGAACCTGACAGGTGAGTACGTGACCAGTTACCGTCACGAAACTTTACGCATTCTGACCCGCGCGCTAGTCGGTTGTACAAACTCCAGATCCAAGAAGTTTGCTGGGTAGTAGTTGGTGTCGAATATGTTATGACGAGTGCAAGTTTTGTATGGTTTCAAGGCACAGGAAACAAGAAGCATAGAGTTGGAAAAAACGATTTCGCGGCAGAAGTTTCACAATTGCCCGCGAAGTCTGAACTGGACGTTTGGCAGGCTACACTGCGACGGGTTCTGGCAGATTCTATTGGGCGCGAAGCAAACCAAACCAGCTCTGCGTCAGACGACGCAGACGACCGTTCCGGCCAACCCTGCGACCCCAAAAGTCAAGAGTGGGGGCCTGCCCCACACAGACACCATCCCGAGCCCCAAGAAGTTCGGATGGGGCCACTTCGAATGGTGTTCGTGCTTTGGAATACGATCTAATACAGCTGCTGCATTGAATGAAAACTTTGTTGTTGAAGTGTTGAAATGGGCATTCGAAGCTGTCAGTTATAAATATACCGTATACAAGTATTTGAAACTCATAAGCAAGTATACAACATCGCGGAAAAGGGAAATTGCGATTTTGGGGGTCCGAAGGTTTTTCTGCAAAAAGTGTGCGGTTTTGTTGCGCCAAGTATACAGAAAACGACGACCCCAAAAAGCAACTCTGAATACACCGTTTGCGAAAGCGAATACCGGAGCCAAAAGTTCACTCGAAAGTAACGTTAGGATCGCATATTTGGTTTCGAGCGGTCAAGATGGATTGAAAGCGGTTACATCTTTTGTTTGTTTTCACGAAAACTAACGAGAATGTGAGGGTGGATACAACGATTTCGTGAATACGAGTTTCATTTTCCACACAATTGGATTGTACACGTGGTCACAACACATTCGCTTCTTCAAAACTGCATACCAACCACCAAATCTAAACCACACACGCACACCTGGTTGGACCTAAAGGGTGACGAATGATCGCAAGAAAATCCCATTCAGCCAATCATTGTTGCTGCTGTGTCAAATTAGGGAATCACCACTATCTTGTTGAGAAGAAGTGAACGAGAGAATGAATGAACTATGAACGAAGTGAGTACAAATAGGAAACCCTAGTTGGGTTGTACCCCCTATAGGATACCCCACTATAGCCTACACAAAAAAGTAAGCTATAATACTCTGACACACCCCCATAGGCAAAGTGGGGGAGAACAAGGGGTCACAAGACCAGTCAAGCAAAGCAAAGCAAAGCTCAGGGTGGATCACAAAGTCACCACACATTCCGAGCACAAGTTCCAAGGCCACAAGGCCAGTTCACATGCAAGATCATATATAGAGATATACAAGAGTCAAGCAAGCAAGAGCAAGAGTATATATAGGTGAAGGTTCAAGCAAGGTCAAGAAGTGAGCAAGTGAGGCAAGACAGGCACAAGACCCAGCTGCGTTCAGCAGCGCTGATGATCACAAGGCGCAAGTGCCTTGGTGAAGACATCAGCAGTGTTGGCCTCAGAGGCCACGTACGCAAGTCGCAACTGTCCACGCTGCTGTAGCTCACGAGCAAGAAAGTAGCGGAGAGCAATGTGCTTTGTCCTGTGCTCCAGTCGCTGCTCTCGACACAAGGCCAGCATGGCCTTGTTGTCTACGTACAGGACTGGAGGAGAACGAGGCGGCTCTCCAAGGTCGGTCAGCAGGTAGGTGAGCCAGCGAAGCTCCTTGGCAGCCATAGCCCCGGCGTAGATCTTAGCCTCACAACTGGAGCCGAGAACAGAAGACGAGCGGGTAGCCCGCCACGAAACAGAGCCGGAACCAAGGCTGAAGGTGTAACCCTGTGACGACCGCTGCGTAGCCTGGTCGTCAGCCCAAGAAGCGTCCGCGTGCCCAGTGAGGACCACTGGACTGCGCCCTCCAAGCACTAGCCCCATGCCCGACGTACTGCACAAGTAGCGCAACACCCTCTTCGCTGCAGCCATGTGCTCTGGTCGGTGTCTCCCAGGAGCAACAAAGCGTGCGAGAATGCTAAGAGGGTATGCGAGGTCAGGTCGTGTGCAGGTCATCAGGTACATGAGGCAGCCAACAAGCTCTGCAAACGGGCCACTCGACTCTACGGACTCATCCGAAGGCAGAGCTGAGAGCGAGTGGCGAGTAGGCAGAGGAGTGGCCTGAGGCGAGGAGTACGTGAAGCCGAAGCGCTGAAGGACCTGCTGCACCATGTGTGACTGAGTCAGGGTAATGGTGCGGCGTGCTCTGTCCCGGGTGATCTGCAAGCCAAGGTAGCTGCGCAGTTCACCCAGGTCAGTGCACGTGTGTCTCTTCTGCAGCTCGGACTTCACGTAGGCGAGTCCAGCAGTGTCAGCTGTGGCAAAGACCAAGTCGTCGACGTACACGAGGATGTAGAACGGCGGCAGAGAGGTGTCGGTGCGCAGAAACAGCGACGGGTCGGCAGTAGAAGGAGCAAACCCAAGTGCCGCCAGCGTAGTCCTCAGTGTGTCGTGCCACTCACGTGGCGCCTGGCGGAGACCGTAGACTCGACGCCGAAGACTCCACTGAGTACCAGGAGGGAAAGACCCAGTAAAGCCAGGTGGGCGACGTAGCCAGATCTCCTCGTGCAGGCTGCCCTGCAAGAAAGCAGTGCTAAAGTTGAGGAAGTGCAGCTCGTAGTCACGGTGAGCAGCAACGTGTAGCAGTACCCGAAGAGTGGTCATCTTCGGGGTGGGGGAGAAGGTCTGAAAGTAGTCAACTCCCTGCCGCTGACTGAAGCCACGAGCCACGTAACGCGCCTTGAAGACAGGCGGAGAACCCGGCGGCCGCTTCACCCTGAAAATCCACATGCCACTGACTATGTTCGCCCCAGGAGGGGGAACAGCGTCAACGTAGGTGCCTGTGGACTTCCAGGAAGCCATCTCTGCATCCATAGCTGCCTGCCACTGAGAGGAGTAGGGACCCTCTATCGCCCCCGCGTAAGAGCGCGGAGTCGGGATGTCTAGTGCATCCGAGTCTCCCTCAGGGGCGAGCAGTACAGACGCGAGATGAGGTGAAGCGGCGGCCAGACACTGGAACTCCTCCTGCCTGTCCTCAAGGACGTCCGTGCCAAGGGCACACTCACCCCCGACGGACGGAGGACAGGCAGACTCAGACTCAGCGACAAGACTAGCAGCGTAGTCTAGACGACAGCGCGCAGCAAAGTCGACGAGCTCAGTGACAAGGGCAGACGCAGCAGAAGACTCAAAAGAAGGGTCAGTGACAGCAGTAGCAAGGAGATGCGTGACAGTAGGACTGGCAGCACGAAGAGAGTCCGACTCCGGGTTGGCAGGAGCAGGAAGAGAGGAAGAAG